TGAAGGTACCGGTGAAGCTCCTGAAGGTACCGGTGAAGCTCTCTAAGGTACCGGTAAAGCTCTTGAAGGTAACGGTAAAGCTCTTGAAGGTACCGGTGAAGCTCCTAAAGGTACCTATGAAGCTCTTGAAGGTATCCAATGAAGCTCCTGAAGGTACCGGTAAAGCTCTTGAAGGTACCGGTGAAGCTCCTAAAGGTACCGGTGAAGCTCCTGAAGGAACCGGAGAAGCTCCTGAAGGTACCGGTGAAGCTCTCCTTGTCTTGCGTAAATCTACTAGTCTATATTGTTACTGCTAGCTCCTGTGGTGGTGAAAAGGCGGCGGTCATAGGAACCCGAATGAGGTGTCGCATCGGTGACGTCCACCCCTGCTCCATGGAACCTTTAATGGTCGTTGCGATGAAAACCGGCAGGAAGCTAAGGAGGACGTTTTGAACATACTGCTTCGTGGCATTAGCTTCTAGGCCTACGGGGTGAGGGCTTTGTGGGTGATGAAGGGGAACCGAGGGGGGAGGGGTTGCGATTTGGGATTTTTAGTGAGACATAAAGAGATTAAAGCTCAGGCCTCTGACTCAATAAACCGTATGTACAAATGTGACATTCCTGTATTACTCCCCGTATCACAAATTAGGAGGGCGCAGAAATCTCATGATACATAAATCATAGTACACAGTCCAGTGACATAAATCTTATGAAACACAATCCACAGACACGCAAGCCTTTCAAATACAAACACGAGACACATAAGCCCATCATATATGACAACGTGGCTCACAAGCCTATGTCAATCAAAAGCCTATGAATACAATGAATACAACTAAATAAAACCCAGGAAATCAATGGTAAAAAAAGGAGGGGGGCAGCGATATCAAAGTAAAATCCTTTTATCAGGTTAAAGTCTTAGTTTAGGATCTACGCTCTACGCGTATATCATAAATAAATAGGCTGACCCAAAAGATTGTGAGATGAAAAAGTTTTTTTTTTTTTTCCCATTTGGCTCCCTTATGGAATCTTTAAAAAATCTATTGTTATACCTATTAACCACAGTCTTTGAAGTTAAACCAACATCACAGCCATTTAAAAAAAAAAAAATGATTTATTTCTAAGAACCTATACGCCAATTGGATACGGGGATTCTAAAAGAAATGTTTTGTTTTTTTTTAAATATATTTTTTTAAGACTACGGGTTTCCTAATTGTTTTTCACTCTTGGTGTTTCGCTAATGATAAATGTTGGGGAGCGCCGATAAACTCATGAACGCCCTTTAAAATAAACTTGGGGTTGTCTTCTGAAGCGTTTCATGGCCGAGACGCAGCATCAGATATACCATCGCCACGCGACAAGAATCCGTCATCAAAATGTTTGTTTACAGAAAAATACTACGAAACAAAAGACATTTTTTATATTTTTTTTTTCTTTTTTTTTTGCGTGTGTACTAAAATTGCAATCTTTGACACATTTGACAATATGGCCTGGAATGCCACTTGATCAGGGAACATTCCGGAAGTGAATTCAATGACTTTTATTTTTTTCCATCTTGGAAAATCGAATTGACACATCCAAATTTGCAGATTCGACGTGGCTGAGCCATTGACGCAACACAAAGAAGTGCGTAATGATTTTTTTTTTCTTCTTAAAACTTCGATTCTTCTGTCAAAGTCGATTAAAGGTTAAGCTTATTGCGCACTTAAATTTTTCAGAGCCAAGTATCATTTTAGGACCTTTAACCGTACAATCTATTTTCGTTCACTGGTTCTTTTCGTCGCCACAAAGCAGCCGACAGGCGAAAAAAAAAGTCCAGAAACTCAAGCAGTGAGACAACACTAGCCCCGAGTAAGAGTCCCATGGAACCTCCTATGTCACCTGCAAAAAGAGAAAAAATAAGAAAAAAATTGTTAATTACATGGCAATTTAAAAAAAAAAAAAAAATTTATGTGTGATTTTTTTTTTATTTATGAAAAGCAAACGATTTCTTAAAAATGAGAAATTTTTTTATAATTTTTTTTTATTTTTTTTTATTTAGCTATTGCAAATTTAGATATAAATAATATAGTTGTCACCATAGGTTTCTTTTATGAATTTGATTAAGGTTTTTTTTTTTTTAAGACAATAATAAAATAATTTTTACCAATA